AATGCAGGTACTTACACTTAAAAATACAATTATGGCTTAGAGAGCTGCATTGATTGGTATCTTTTATATCTGCTTAGAGCTCAGCTATAATCATATACTGACTTCTGACAGAAACTCCATTAAGGACATTGTACCAGGGCACCCCCCATTTCTTAAAACAACCCCCAGATGCTCCCCCATCTACCCAATAGTCCTGTCATAGGCAGAGTTTAGAGGCATGGTGTCAGGGATCCGGGTATGACCAGAGGTGTGTGGACTGACACAGGGAAACGCAGGCTTCAGGTATAGCGTAAACAAGACAATTTATTAAAGACTAAACAACACAAACGCAGTGCAAGGTAAACATAACACAGTGCAAACAACCCAACCTCCAACAGATAACCATATATACAAATCAAACGTAGTCAGGCAGGCCGGGTCGGTAGCAAATGGGCAAACAGGGTACCAGGAGCGAGCGGAAGAGTGGTCAGGAATAGCTGAGGTCATAACAGGCGGAGTTCTTTCAGAGTCAGGATCAAAGCTTAATCAGGATCAGGCAGGAAGCAGACAGGATGCAGGTACAGGGGCTTATGGGCTCATGGGAAACGTACACCAAGGCACTGACTGCAGGCCTGGTCCTGCTTAAATACACCTCCTGCAATCAGCCTCAGGTGATGGCCTGATTGCAGGAGTGAGATTCTGGCTGCTGAGAGCACCCGCTGGCCAGCCTTGGTACTGCACCATTGGCGAGTCCATTCCTGACACATGGTCCAGCTGTGGAAAATAAAATCAAAGACTGTAGGGGAGTCTGGAGATTGGACCTAGCCCTTCACTTTTTTTTTTGTGTTTTGGGGGGGAGGGGCTTCAGGTAGGCTGTATGGGGCCCTATGATTTCTAAATCATGGGGCCCCATACAGCCTACCTGAAGCCCCCCCCCAAAAAAAATATAAAAAACCCTATAAATTAAAATTTTTGCAGGCAAAAATATAACATATCTGACAAATTTGTGTGCAAATAAGACTCATTCACATAAGTGCTGTGGCCTGTACAGTGTGAATCAGTGTTTTTTCACTTAATGTTACACAATGCAGAAGGTCCTAATCTAACAGGCATATAAATGCAGTTGTATTGCCTCCAAACACTGACAGTGTGTCTTTTGGGACCACTCACCCACACCTGTGCACACTTATCAAATTAGGACCTGCGGCTGTGTTTATACAGCCGCTGCATCCTCATAGAGTAAGAGGTGACTCCAGCTGCACAAACAGCCAGCTCATTCACACTCTATGGGCCAGAGCCCTTAAGTTTTTTAATTATTTTTTACAATTTTTTTAAAATAATTGTTTACAATTTTTAAAATTCTATAAATGTTTTAAATTAAAATTATTTTTGACTATTTTTAATTTTTTTTTAAAGTTGTTTTATACAATTTTTTTTTCCACAACACTGTTGTGGGGGCATTGGTTGAGATATCAGGGTCATGGCATCTCACAGCTGAGACAGAGAAAAGAATTGAGAACACATATTCTTCAATTCCTTTCTCTGTAGCCTCAGCTGCACTGAAGACGAATGAACATGAGAAAAAGGCTCCTGTTCATTCATAAACTGAAGCATAGTAAACAAAGTTTACTATACTTCAGTTATGAGTGGACACAGGAGTGATCAGCACTGATCACTCACTGGGGTTGATTTACTAAAGTCAAATAGACCTTGCACTCTACAAGTGCAGTTGCTGCAGAGCTTAGTAAATAAAGTAAAGCCTCACTTTGCAAAAAATACCCAATAACGTGTAAGGAAAATGAAAAAAAAAACAACAACATTGGTTTTGTTTGTTTTTGATTTTTAATAAATTGCAAAGATTTCAAAATGAAGTTCTTTCACGTTGCCATTATAGGGTATTGTTTGTAGAATGTTAAGGAAAAAATTAATTTAATCCATTTTGGAATAAGGCTGTAACATAACAAAATGTGGCAAAAGTTAAGCGCTGTGAATACTTTCTGGATGCACTGTACATCAACACGATGAGGTCCCTTGCAGGGGACCATTGTGGAAACAAAATGGATAAAACAATTGAGCAAACAAACAAACTAACCTATCACAAAGAAGTTTCCTCACGAAGGGGGCAAGGACATCCAACGGCTCACGTCAGGAACGTCGGTGTGTATTCAAGGCCTTAATAAAATTGTGGGGGGGTGGGTGAATGTCCCCCTCCCCTAGAAACTGGGCAGAGGTTAAATAATGGGAGGGCCAAAGGGGCAAAACATACAGAGGAGAAAATAAAAAAGGGGGGGGGGGTGAGGATGAGGAGGGGGGGAGGGAAAGTAGAAAGAGCGGTAAGAAAAAAGAGATAGAAAGAAGAGAAAGACAAGATCAGATGGAGGAGAGAGAAAGTGCCTTTGAGCAGGAGCATCCCCATAGTAGACTAGGATACCCAGACTGCATGGAGGTAGAGTGGGGAAAGCATAAGACCATCACAGATTCCATATTTTGAGAAATTTGGAGTGGGAGTCATGGAGTATGCTTGACATTTTCTCATGAACCATGAGGGTAGTCAAAATGTTCCGCACTTCGGCAAAGTGACAATGGGCTTCTTCCAAGACCTAGCAATGGCTTGTTTTGCCGCTACGAAGAAGTATGTGGCCAATTTTTGTTGATGAGAGCTCCCACTTCTAAATCCTATTCTAACTACCCTGTGAAAGGAAGATGTTTATACTTACCTATACTGAGGGCACTCTGGTCACACATGATCCTCAGGGAGGAAGAGAGATCGTCAACAATGGATAGAATGCCTGGGTGGTGACCTCACTCATAGGCTTACTATGGGTCATCCGTTGTTGGTTGTCCCTCCTGTCCCCTGAAGCTGCCACTGGGAGTTTATTACATGACCAGACCGGAGAGACCCGAGAATAGATAAGAATGTGCATCTTCCTTTCATAGAAAGGAATAGTTAGAATAGGATTTAGAAGGGGGGGAAGCAGGTTTAAGCATAGTTAAGCAATAGCCTGGAATTCCACTGTAATAAATGCAGCTTGTGGTGTTGTCCGGTGCCACCAATAGTGGCACAATGATTTGTCAGGATTATTGATAGCAAACATATGGAGGAGGACCTCACTTCCACAATAATTGGCCACATTGTCACCACACCTGATCTGGGTTATAAGTGACAGATTTTCCTTAATGCATTACCAATGCCATTAGTAAAAGCTGAACCCATTGGAGAGAGAGAAAATAAATAAACAAAATAAAGTATACCCCAGGGGCGGACTGACCGTTTGGGAACTCGGGCACTTCCTGAGGGCCCGGGGTCAGTAGGCGGCCCCATGAGATGCCCCTGGTACCTTTCATAGGCTTTTTGGGTGTGGTTTGAGTGTGGATGAGGACACAGGGGCACCATGATCCCCTAATGCCCGGGGGCCCCATGAGTTGTTAGTCCACCCCTGGTATACCCACTACCCAATGTGATTTGCTATCAACCTCTTGTAACCTCTTGTGCAACAGCAATTAGAATGGGGAGGGAGGGCTCAGTACCAATCAAAAATGCTGCATTGACAGTGCGAGGACAAAAAACATTACTCTAAAAAAGAAAAAAGGTGTTACTCATATCAATATTGAAGTGATCACTACCTACATAAATAATAAACACATATCATTCAATTAAAATCAGTTATAAAGTGTCCATAAAAAATGTCAAATCAAATTATAAAGTGTCCATAAAAGAAAAGTCCATATATTAATTCCACAAAGAATTTGCCTTCCACACCCAGTGTCCAAAAAAACAAATAATCCGCTTGCGTGCGAATTCCACCTCATGCAGATATAGAATGTTAAAAGGCGAATCATAATCAGCTTTATCAGCATGACTGACTCAACCCAAGTCTTCACAGTCTTCCACAGAGTAGACTTTTGCAATCAGGATGAAACAGTACAAACACTCAAAAAAAAAAGAGAGATGTTCTATAGCACAGGTGTCAAACACAAGGCCCGCGGGCCGAATCCGGCCCTCCAGGCCATTTCATGTGGCCCTTGCACCTCTCCTGCAGTTACCTACTTGTCTCTGCCCCCACCTTGTCTCAGCAGTCAGCAGCAGAGAGAATAGAACTCCTCTGCCAAATACTGCACTTCTCAGTGCAACTACAGCACCCCTCATCTCTGCCTCCCCTGGTCTCAGCATTCAGCAGACTCTGATAACTGACTCCACTCCTCCTCTGGTCCTCCTCCAGACCCTGCACTTTCTGCATTCCAGCTCTGCCTCCGAAGTGGGTGCACAGGGATGTTAGGGAGGGTGTGGGATTCTTGATATCTGATGTAATGGCGGGGGGGTGCTCTGGACATCTAGTCTTACAGATACAATCGGTACATTGAGGGCAGCCATAATGCTGATATGGCCCACAATGAAATGAAGTTTGACACCCCCCTGCTCTATAGTGTAGCAAATTTATATTAAAATATCTGCCTCCAGAAGTCAGATGCTCCACACCACTGCTCACTCAACCCAACCTCGTTCCCCGACTCGAATCTGCCACTGTAAGTGACTCACAGAAGGACCGGATGGGACAAAAAACATGCAGATAGAAGCAGATTGGAGCACAACTAGAGCTGATGACCCATCCATGTGTTACTGGTCTTTCACTGTCCAACCATAGGGTAGGGGTGGGGAGATGACCTATCTGTATTGCTTGATTGCAGTAGAAAAAAAGGCAGTATGTTTGGCAGGGTTGTGTTAATCTCAAGATAAAAAAGGAAAATAAAAATTATTTGACAGTTATAGCATCTTTAACCACCTTCCACCCGCCATATAGTACAATGACGGGCGCAAGGTGGTTCTCTCGTTCTGATAGGACGTCATATGACGTCCTTCCATTCTCACCGTGCATGCGTGGCTCAGGGAGCGCGCAGCGCGGTGATCGCCGGTGCGCTGTGTCCCTCAGTGCATGTGGCACTGTGTCCCTCGGACACAGCGGATCACGGAAAGAGCCGAAGATGTCGGCTCGGTCATGTGATCAGCTGTGTCCAATCACAGCTGATCACATGTAAACACGGAAATGCCGGTTACTGGCAATTCTCTCCTCTCGAGCTGTGACGCTGACAGCTCGAGAGGAGAGGAGAGACAGTAATCTGCTTTCCGCGGAGGGGGGACATGTACACTGATCATCAGGGCACTGATGATCAGTGTGCCCTGATGATCAGTGTGGCCCCAAAAGTGCCACCTGTCAGTGTCCATCAGTGCCAGCAGTCAGTGCTCATCAGTGCCCATCAGTGCACATCAATGCCACATATCAGTGCCCATCTGAGCTGCCTTTCAATGTCACCCATCAGTGCCAGTCAGTGCCACCTATCAATGCCAATCAGTGCCACCTATCAGTGCTACCAATCAGTGCCAGTCAGTGCCGCCTATCAGTGTGCATCGGTGCCGCCTGTCATATCAGTGTCATGTATCAATGCTGCCTTTCAGTGCCCATCAGTGATGCCTGTCAATGCCCATCAGTGCAACCTACCAGTGCCTCCTCATCAGTGCCCATCAGTGCCACCTATCAGTGTCCATCAGTGCAGCCTATCAGTGCCCATCACTACAGCCTCATTAGCGCACATCAGTGAAGGAGAAAAATCACTTATTTACAAAATTGTAAAACAAAAACTAAGAAAAAACTTTTTTTTTCCAAAATTTTCAGTGGCTTTTGGTTTGTTTAAGAAAAAATAAAAATCGCAGAGGTGATTAAATACCACCAAAAGAAAGCTCTATCTGTCTCAAAAGAATGATAAAAATTTCATATGGGTACAGTGTTGCATGACCGCACAATTGTCATTCAAAGTGTGACAGCGCTGAAAGCTGGAAATTGGCCTGGGCAGGAAGGGGGTGAAAGTGCCCTGTAGGCAAGTGGTTAATATGCCCATTTGTTTATCTTCACTTTTTTGTCATCTTTGCGTCATCATAAGCATCCATTTAATTTTTTGGTCTTTGTGCTAGCTCTATGTGCTGATTCAACAGCATGAAGTTAGATTAGTCACATTCCTAGGGGTGGCTTAACTCGAAAGTTGGGAAGTTTCATGAAAATATTTAACATGAAGCAAATTCATAGCTTTATGCCAAATCTAATCATGCAGACAAGTGTTTCAATTAAATGATTAGTAGGAGCCAGGAGCAATATAAATGGTATGCGTCTATGGACTTATCCGATAATTATTTTACTAGGTATCTGAACACTGAAAAGTAACAACAATATAAAGCTTTTTAGGTGCATTTACCATTAAGATGTAACATCCTATTTACAGTTACAGAGATCTTGTGATACGTTTCATATTTCAGGAATGAAGGCTTAAATGAATATTATATTTACAGTGCTGTAATGGTGTACAGTACACATGGGGGACACATGAAAATAACCCCCCTTTCCTTGCTTAATGTCAGACACCACCTTCCTCCATAGCATCCCTGCCTGTGGGCATCCCTGCCATGGAGGTCCTCTAAAAATGACATGCCAATACCAACTCTTTGAAAGTCATTATTAATGCCGTTATATTTAAAGCTGAAGTTTGATCTGCTTATATTTTCCTTCACTGGTTCCTCCTTCTCCCACCACCATCAAAATGCTAATGAAGTTATTGCATAAAGCAACGTTGCGCTGGGAGTGCATTCAACATGTAATATATGCATTACCACATTGGAATAGTCTAAATGGGCCCTTAGCAGGAGCACAACTACAGTGGTTGCAGGGGTCGCAATTGCGACCCGGCCCCATGCTTCAAGAGGCCTGTGCGACCTTCAGTACACCTAGACAGGAGGGGCAGCATAGAGAGGAACCGATGCCCTTCACTTTCCTCTAGCATCCGCTGAATGCTTGCGGGAGGGAGAGTCGGAGAAGCAGGTTGTCAGGAACCATCGCGACGCATGGGTCTACACATGCGTAGGTGTCTGCCGAGACGTATAGGTGGCAGGGCACTAGGACCCAGGCGCACCCGTCGTCTGGACAGTACTAGGCAGGCACTGGGACCCAGGCTACGCCTGTCAGGTGCAGGGCGGGCTATTTAAGCTAGCCCTGCACAGACACTTGTTGCCGAATGGTCTTTGTATCCTGTTACCTGTGTGTGAGTACTTCTGATCTGGATTGTTTTGACCTTGTTGCCTTCTCCCGTCCTGACCCCTTGGCTTGCCTGACTCCCCGGATGTTCCCGTTTAGATCTGACCTCCTGGTATTGACCCTGCGTGTGACCCGACTATCCTTTGCCTACCGTTTTGTACCTTACCGATCCTCTAGTTACCGTCCCGGCCTGCATGACTCTGATTTAGCTCATCCATCCATCCACCCCGCAGGGATCACTAGGCTCCCTTACATCAGACTCCTAGCTCTCTGGAGCCCCTGTCAGACTCCTCTACCCCTGTTGGAGATACCTGGTAGTTGCGACCTGGTACCGGAGCGCTCCAAGTCCATCCCCACCATCAGGGGCCCTGGTGAACAAGTGCTCCGGTGCTTAGACTCCGCACGCTGGGGAGGCTCTACCGGGAGACTGATAGAGGTGCTGTCAGGTGGTCCCTTACACAGGTATTCAGCAGCTGCAAGAGGAAAGTGGAGGGCATTGGTTCCTCTCTATGCTGCCTTCATGCCTTCATCGCTCCTCCTATCCAGGTCCTGCTGCTAGGTCTTTCTGCCACGTCCAGCTTGTACCCGCACCTTAGGAACTCCCACTCCACATTGATCAGCCGACTGAACTCCACAGTACCCAGCGCTATGGGAGGGTGCCCTGGATAGGGCAGGGCGTGAGGTGAAGAGCAGGACTTGATGGTCCAGTAGTGCAGAAGAGGAGCTGACAGCAGCCACTGGGCCACCCGGGACATTGACAGCATGGTGGGGTTATGTTATTAGTTCCCGTCCTACTCCCATGAGCCCGCAACTGCCCTCAAGACCCTGAGCAATATTTGATCAGTGGGAGAGGGGAAAAGGAGGTGTCATGGGGTATTGGATTAGAGACTGGTAATCCCACCCCCTGTTACTGAGCCAGCTCCACCCTCCTGTCCCCAAGCCTTACAACTGTTAGTGGGAGGGGTAAAGAGGGCCTGAAATTGGGGGGGATTAAAGAGGGGTAATCCCACCCCCTGTCACTGAGCCATTTCCTGTCCCCAAGCCTTACAACTGTTAGTGGGAGGGGTAAAGAGGGCCTGAAATTGGGGAGGGGATTAGAGACTGGTAATCCCACCCCCTGTCACTGAACCAGCTCCACCTTCCTGTCCCCAAGCCTTACAACTGTTAGTGGGAGGGGTAAAGAGGACTGAAATTGGGGAGGGGATTAGAGACTGGTAATCCCACCCCCTGCCACTGAGCCTGCCCTGCCATCCTGTTCCTGAGACATACATGGGTCAGCGGGGGGGAGGGGGTTGGGGGAGATTTGTCCGGCATTCACCAGCTGCAGGAGGAAAACAGAGGGCATCGGTTCCTCTATATGCCGCGCTGTGCCTGCTCCACCCACACTACCTGGCAGTGTTGTAGCTCAGAGAAAGGGATGTGTGGGAGTATGTTTAATTCTCAGCATCCAGGAGAGGAAAGGTGCAGCTTGCTGATCTATCCATCCAATGTGATGGATAGATCCCTCCATTCTCTCTCCTGCCTCCCATTGAGTAAACTAAAGTAAGAGAGACTCAGATGTAAGGGGTACTCTGTGGACTCTGACGTAAGAGGGGCTTTGGTGAGCAAAGACCCCCTTGCATCAGAGTTCCCCTTTTCACACCAGAGTCCACAGCATTCCCCCTTATTCAGAGCCCCCACTTAAATCAGGATTACCATTTACATTCCAGAGTCCACAGAAATCCCCCTTGCATATTAAGTGGAAATTCTGTAGGCTCTGATTTAAGGGGGGCTCTGCAGACTCTGATGTAAGGGGGGGGGGCCTCTGGGAGCCCCTATTAAATAGAAATGCTGGGAGTACTGATGTAAGTAGGGGCTCTGGTTATCAAAGTCTTCCTTATTGGAGAACAAAATGGTAACAAATTGTTTCTTATATTACCAGACCGTTCATTTTAACACCCATACGATTTATGTACACATTTTATGCATGGTGAATACTTGTAAAATCTTTCCTTGTTTAGACATCCAAAAGCATGGAGACTGCTGCTGGGCACCTCCATCTTGGATCTGATGTCAGCAGCCACAGAAGACTCTCAAGTCCCACTTCACCTGTATTCTCCATCACGCTCCCAGCAGGACAGTGTAGCTGGGCCAGCACATAGAGTAATGAAACACTCCCAGAAGAGGAGAGGGCTATTACATGCAAGGCGGGAGGGCTCTGCGCTAGAAAATTGACTCTTCTTAGAGTAGTCACGTTTTTAGAAAGTTCAAAGCCATATTGCAAGTGAATAAAAAATAATTTATGAAAAGGTAAAAAAGTAAGCATTTATGGGCTTATTTTTTTTCTGCCTTTACCTGGAATGTTTAAGTTGGTGAAATGAATAGGAACATTTGGGTTGGATTCACCCTTCCTATCGTAGGATCTTTCATAGGGCACATTTATTATAGTAGCAGGCTTGAAATCCAATGTCAGACATAAAGATTTTTACCAGTTTCACATCACGGCGTGAATATGAATCATAATGTTTACTGAATACTTCCATTATTATGTAAGACATGATTCATGTTTCTATACATATCTGTGTTGATTGCACATACCTAAAAGACAGAATGCTTGTGCCACATGTCTGAGTCAGGAAGAAAGTCTAGTTGACCACAAATTTCCTCTTGTAGAAATATATTGAACGAGAGATATGTGTAATGCATTCTACAATTACTCTATCTTGGTATCCACTATAATTAGGGTACAAATCCATAACACCCATATGACTGTACAGGTATCAGTTCCTGCTATCAATATTTTACCAACTGCTCCCTACATCTTGGTTCAGGCACAAGCCATCCCTCGACATGACCTACCAGAATGAAAAGCAGTCATGTGTTCCTAGCTAAGCCTCATCTTGGTTCGGGTGCAAGTCATCCTTCAACATGACCTACCACAATGAAAATCAATCATGTTCCTAGCTAAGCCGCATCTTATTTCGGGTGCAAGTCATCCCTCGACATGACCTACCAGAATGAAAAGCAGTCATGTGTTCCTAGCTAAGCCGCATCTTGGTTCGGGTGCAAGTCATCCTTCGACATGACCTACCAGAATGAAAATCAGTCATGTGTTCCTAGCTAAGCCGCATCTTGGTTCAGGCACAAGTCATCCCTCGACATGACCTACCAGAATGAAAAGCAGTCATGTGTTCCTAGCTAAGCCGCATCTTGGTTCGGGTGCAAGTCATCCTTCAACATGACCTACCAGAATGAAAAGCAGTCATATGTTCCTAGCTAAGTCGCATCTTGGTTCAGGCACAAGCCATCCCTCGACATGACCTACCAGAATGAAAAGCAGTCATGTGTTCCTAGCTAAGCCGCATCTTGGTTCAGACACAAGTCATCCCTC